GAAGCCATGTGGTGAATGCCTCGAAGGCTTGATCGCGCGTTTTGAGATTGAAGTGCCAGACGTATCTGGTTGCGGCGTCGATGAACGTGATGACGTAGTTGAAGTCGGCTTCGGTGTCGTCTCGAGGCATGTTTAGAATATCGCTGTAGACCTTTTCCATCGGAGCGTAAGTGGGTGCGCTTGGATTGTGATGGGCTGGGAAAGGTTGATGAGGAAGATCTGCTTCGGGGCATGTGAAACACCGTGCGCGTGGTCGTCGGAGTTCCTGGCCGCTCGTCGTCAGAAGGGCGTTGCGTTCTAACACTTCTGCTTGGATTGTTTGAAGTATCGTGCTGTTTGCAGGATGTCCGAGACGTTGGTGCCAGATGTCGTCGGGAGCGCGGTGACCGGGCGAGCGGTGGTAGATGTCGGCGTTGGAGAAGAACGCGACGACCGAGGCGGGACTTCGACAAGCTTCTCGTGTGGCGGGCATAAGTTGGTCTGCTTCGGTTGGCTGTCCTCGTGTCGCTGGTGGTGGTACTCGGCTGGGTCCTGCTGCCGATACTGCAGGTGATGGTTTTGTTGGGACGCTTGCTGGTACTTGTCTTTCTTGTCTGATGACTGCTAATGCCCGTGTTCTCTCTGCTGCAGGTATGGTGTTGGAGTGCCAGAAGCCGTCACTGTCGAAGTCGGGATCAAGATCTGGTGGGTGAGTCCAGGCGGCGAACGATACGATGCCATCGCTGTCGGCAGTTCCGCGGTCGGGGACGAAGTCCAACACGAAGACACCGGACTTCAGGAGGGCACGACCGATGAAGAGACCGCCCTTCCCGTGGTAAAGTCGGAACTCGTTGGAGAAGGAGTCGCACTCCAGGTGAATCCCCTTAGCCATTAGTTGGCTTACGCTTAGTAGGTTGTATCCCAGATTGTCGACGATGAGGACTTTGTTGAGCTGAAGAATAACGTTTGTCTCCATTGATTGTAACTGAACCACGCCTTGCCTGTTTGTTTTCAGGTTTTCGTTGTTGGCGACGGTGATGACGACGTCGCGGTTGAGGCGTCGCTCGTGTTGTACGAAGCGTCCGGAGGAGCACATGTGCTGACCGCAGCAACTGTCCAAGAACCAGGTGTTCCGCCCGGTGGGTTCGGCGTTAGCGACTGCAGCGTATGTCGGGTTGACCTGAAGTCCTTGCGAGCGCGGCGGCGGGAATTCCTCTTCGTCTGGTGCGTAAGTGGGTGGTGAAGCGGGTGCGCAGTTGTCGATGTGTACCATGCAGTTGATGATGTTGGGTGTTTGTTGTGCAGATGTTGAAGAGCGCCTTGGAGGACTTGCTTGAGTGGAAGCGACTTGTGGGTCTGCTGCACGGTAAACGCGAGGGCGGTTGCAGTTGACCTTGGAGTGCCCGGAAGTCTGACAGTTGTGGCAGAACGGCGGCACGATGGTGAGTCCTCGGTTGTCGCGTTGATCTTGCTTGCTGCGTCGGTTGTAGTTGTTGTCATTTCTTCTTTGAGTGTAGAAGACTAACTGCTGTTGCTTCCTTGGTTGTCTTTCCTCGAACAGATCCATCTCCTGTTGTTCAGCGTGAAGCTCGGCGCAGAGGTGCATCTCCGAAATTCTTCCGTGGGCTCGAAGAAGTGATCGTGTGGTTCTCCATTCTAGCCCGAGCCCGGCGAGGACAAGTGTCACGAAGCTTTCTTCAGTGATCGTTCCTCCGCACCGAAGCAGGCGGTCGCGGAGGGTCTGGCAGCGACTCATATACTGCATCGCCTTTTCCCCGGTCTTCATTTGTATTGTTGTCAACTGTTGCATGAGTCTGCTTTGTGTCACGCTGTCGTTTGCTTGGTAAAGGCACTTGAGGTGGTGCCATGCGAGCTCCGCGGAGTTTCCATAACTCCGATACGTTCTGATGCTCTGCTGCTCTTGTGGTGACAGGTTTCTCAGGAGTACCGTGTACGCCAGCAGCGACTGATACGTAAAGATCTCTTGTTCCTTCCCAGTGCCGTTGCTTGGGAATGGCAGGGACCCGTTGAAGTATCCCAGAAGATGCGCGGCCTCCATCAGCAGCTCAAACTCGAAGCTCCAGGTAAAGAAGTCGTGTCCGTTGAACGGTGAGGATGTCTGAAGTTTGATCACGTGTGAGAACTGCGCCTGTAAACTTAAGATTTCATTCGGTGTTTGTTGTGAAGCAGCTGCTGTTGGCTGGGCACGGGGCGGCATGAATTCGAACGTCCCCGGCGAAGAATGATAAGGCGCAAAGGTAGGCGCTTGGTTGTGTCGCCCGAAGGATGAGTTGTCGAGGCTCATCGGCGCTAATCCCATATTCCCTCCATTGCTCTGTGTTGAGTGCGCAGGTGTCCTTGTCTGCTGCTGCTGATCGAAGTGTGACATGAAGCTGAAGAATCTCTCCATGAGATTCGGGTCCACACTTGAAGAGGGAGACGGGGTCACCATCTCTGGTACTCTTCCCGTTGTTTCTTGAGCAGTCCCGGTCTCTGTCTGCAGTCCTGAGGTGTGCAGACCAGAGTTGCCGTGTTGAGTTTCTTGGGCGCTGGGTGAGCCCGTAGAGACTTTCTTGCCCTTGTTGTCCATGTCTTGTAATCAATGAAGTCGTTGAATTGAGTTGAGTTGCTGGTTGTTGATGGAGTGTAGTTGCTGGGAGTTTTGATCTCTGACCAGCTCTCATACCATGTTGGGCTGAGAAAAGCCCTTAGGATCTTTTGCAGAGACTAAGTCCCAGCTTGTAGAGACTTGAGACTTGGAGTAGTGCAGCGGAAGTTGAGACGGTTGAACCCTTGTACTAGTATGTGAGAACAAGTGATTGATTAAAGAAACAAGCATACAGCAATATATAGTAGACAAGAAAGCAGTTGTAGAATACAGTTACAGGAACGGTTTATCGAGTCGCACAGCGACTCGATTGCCGCTTCGGTTACCATCCGTGATGTTGTAACGGTCAGTCGCAACCTCCAGTTGCGACCTTTCGAGTCCTTTCGCATTCTTTGTCCGCCCCCTCGTGTAACCTCCGTTGACTCGCGTGCTCCCCTGTAATCTTCCTCGCGTACAGTGTTACACTTCAGAAACGCTTAAGTCCTTGAGATATTTCCAACAACATACAGTATGCACAAATTTTCAGGCCTATTTATAATGAAATCTGAGACCTTGGCAGAGGGCCATATTTGGGTGATGCAGCCTGGATTTATGTAAGGAATTAGCCATTCCTTACTGAGGCTTGCTATAGGGCGTACGACTCGAACAATCCCGAACCAGCGATAGTGTTCCAGACCTTTCAGTTCGAGCCTCCTGGGCCTTTTCGGACCTCGCTTCGACAGATCGAGGTCAGAGTTCTCGGTTCAAGGGTAAACATTCGGAATGCCAGGTACATTCCTTTGGGATTGGAATCCAGGTTTTGATAGGGTTGGTCTCCCAAACCTCCTGACTGTTTCAGAACGTTTTTCTCATGGACTCGGAGCTTTCCGTATGGGTCCAGAAACTACCCTGACTAAAAGCGAATTGTGACAGGCGCCCTTCAGCTGCTACTGTAAGCCTCCCCAATGATATGGTTCTCCCATCCTCAAAACAGGTTGTGCCTGCTTCGATTCGCTACTTGTGAATCTTCGTGGTGTCCAGGCATCAAGTGTCCACATTGTTTTAAGGTCTATATTATTCATGCCAAACCTCCTACCAGTGTACGCGGGAATACGCAGGCCTCCGGGGAATCCATTAAAACATAGGGATTTTTCAAGGAATGCTGATTTTCAAGGTCTTTTGCGAGGCGAATCCTGTGCCTTCCGGGTCCTGGAAAACAAAAATTAGTCCTGATTGAGGCCCTTCCATATTTTTTCCGAACCTTCCGATCCTACGTCGACGATCTCCCTAGATTTTCTATATACTGTATTATGTTGTCTTTTATGTTACAGTATTGTCATTCACTTGTTCACAGTTTCACCATCGCCCTCCGCGCTACTCAGCTCGGGATATCCATTCATAACAATTTACGGGCAGAACTGAAGGGCAACCCCGTTACAATGGTGAAATGGAAATTCCTAACACCTAGGAACCTCCAACTAACGAGCCCTTAGGCTAAGAGGTCCAACTATTCTGTTATACTGTATTGGGTGCACACGAAGCAGCCCTGCGTTGTGAAAAGGCCAGAATCATTTTCCACGAGCTGAAAAGTTGCAAGTTGCACCGGAGGTTCAAGGGGAGAAGGTCCAGTCGTCACTGCTACAATTTCAGCCAGGACCTAGAGTTTCGGTTCAGGACAAAGTTACGAAAGCGGGTCTGGTTGCAGCCTTCGTTAAAGTTACCAGGCTGCTTCCCCCAGTGATTTCCTTCGCCCAATCCGTTTTTAGCTCCGCTTTTAGCTGAAGCTATACTCCCAAGTTTACGCCCTCAGGGTACGCTAGACTGCGTCCGTTTCTTAAGGTCGTGGCAAAAAATCGATTGTCGGCTTTTTATGGAGTTCGATTCTGACACAATATAAAAGATCTCCAATATCGACCTTTAACGCGACATTGAAATGTTCGTGATTTGCAGCTTTCGAGTCGAGTATCGACTTGCAGCTGGACAGCATGGATTTTCGCAGAAGAGCTCATCGAAACCCAGCAACCCTCCCTACACCTTCGCAATTTCCGTCAGACACTACAGCGCGGCGCGAGACAGGAGGATATGCCTTGTCACATTTTTCGCAATGGCGAGCTGACGAAGCCCTTCTGATTTCGTGGCATTTGGGATGGGGCGATCTGGCGCTTTGTTGAGGAGGATTGTTAGTGTTTTGGACGTGCGATTGATTCCCGGTTTTGTTTCGTAAGTGATCCTCCCCTCCGATCTGCTACATGACTGTTTCGAGGCTGCTGTAGCTTTCTGGTTACCAGTGTTCTACAGCGCCAAGAGCAGAAAATGATCGGAGAACCGGACGCGATGAGCGCGTCCTCAGGGTTGAACCCAGGAACCACGCCCTGATCGTTTTGCACCACGCAAGTCCCACCCACTCCCACGTCAACCCTAGCGCCCTCAGCTGTACCTGACTGAGCCACAACAACCGCCGTCCCATACTGTAGTTCGATTGTACGGCGCCACAGCCAAGCCTGCGGCATGCCGCTCCTCTACCTTAGCTTTCAGCGTTTCCTAGTGCTCTCGCCTCGTGCCGCGTGCCGCTCCGCTAGTCTCGACGCCGCATTGTGCTTGTCGCGCCACCTTTCCGCCGTTCCGCGGGTCCCTGTCCCCCTCGCCGTCCTTCCGCATGGCGCGCATGGTGCAGTGCCCGCGCTGCCGCGCCGTGCTGCAGGAGCCGCCGCCGGGCAACCCGTTTTACAAATGCGGCAGCTGCATGACCGTGCTGCAGGGTAACGCACGCGCTGCCTAGGGTGACGCGCTCCGTAGGGTCACGCGCTCCGTAGGGTGACGCACTTCCTAGGGTGACGCGCTCCGTAGGGCTACTTATAGCCTATACGATCACGTGCACTTTAGGCTACCCGACTCGTCCTCCAGGGTACCTCCATTTTAATTTCCAGGTGTGAATCGCGGCATTGCCTTGCCTTGCTCGTCCTTCGCCTCATCCTTCCTTCGCCTTCCCCCTTCCCCTTCCTCTCTCCCCTTTCCCTCTCCCCCTCGCTCTCCCCGCTACTCCCCTGGTGCGTGCAGCGCGCCACGCCGTGCACGGCGGGGTGCCGCGCCACCCAGTCGGCATTGACGTCGGGGGTCGCTCGCCCGCCGCCTTCTCCCCGCTCCCCCCTCCACACTCGCGCGCCCCCCTCGTTCCGCGCACCCATAGCGCGACTCACGAGCGCACTCCCCCGTCCCTCTTCGCGTCGCCGCACGCCACCCCTCCGCGCCCGCCCCAGCTAGCCAAGTCGTTCTCCTACGGCGCTTCTTCCTCCGCACTCCAGAACGTTCTCCCCGCCTCCTCACCCCCCGCCCCCGCTACCCCCTCTCCTCCGCGCAACCCCCTTTCCGCCGGCCCCTCGTCCCTCTCCTCCCGTTCGCGCGTCCTCTCCGCCAATGCTGCTGGGCGGAGGGGGGGTTCGGGCGCACGGGCAACGCTGTTTGGGCACGAGATGGCGGAGTGGGGGGATGAGGAGAGCGGGGAGGGGGAGGGCGCGGAGGAGGACGTGCGCGGGGAGGCAGCAGCAGGGGTGTGGGCGGGGGAGGGGAAAGAAGGGGAGCCGGAGGCAGAGGAGGGCGGTTATGGTGGGCAGCGAGGCATGCTCCCCCGCAGGGGGAGTGGGGGGGATTTCACTGGCGGAGGGGGGCAGCAGTCATGGGCGCAGGGTGAAGGGCGGGGGGAAGCGGAGGGGCCAGATTTGGCGGAGGAGGGCAGTGGGGAGTGGGGGCAGGGCGAGGGGGCCGAGGGGGGCGAGGAGTGTGCGCCAGTGGCGGCAGACAGCAGTCCCCCAAACCCCTCCGCTGCCTTTGGCCGCCAGTCCACCCTCCCCCCCCGCCTGCCCCGCTACTCCAGCCCCCTCCAGGCGCCCTCCGCAGCCAGACCAGGGGGTATGAGGGGCGCGGGAGGAAGGGCAGCAGGCAGGGTGGATGGCGCACGGGAAGGGGGGAGAGGGGGAACGTCAGGGTCGGGCATGTGGGGGGGGGGAGGGTCCAGCGGGAGGTGGGGGCAGGGGGGGGAGGTAGTGAGAGGGACGGGGAGGATGAAGGAGATGAGGGGGAGGCGGTGGTGTGGCCAAAGGGGTGGGCGGAAATAGATGCAGCATGGGCGGAGGGGGACATGGGTGGAAGCATGGGGGGGAGCATGGGGGGAGGAGGGGGTATGGGGGGGGACATGGAGAGGGGATTGGCGTGCACTCAGAGCATGGATGGCGGGTATGGCGGCAGCAGCAGCAGCAGCAGCAGCAGGGTCGGGCGGCAGGGCCGCCGAGGGGACATGGTGGAGGGGGAGGGGGGGAGGGGAGGCAGCGGGAGGAGGCTGAGTATGAGCATGAGCATGAACGTGGGGATGGGCATGGGCATGGGCATGGGCATGGGTGCATTCAACAGCGGCAGCAGCGGGGGCCTGTCCCCGCCACCAACATCAGCACCATCGGCGTCGTCGCCAGCGCCGTCCATCTCGCTGCGTCGCCTCTTCTCCCGCCACGCCTCGCCCGCGGCCCAGAGGGAGGAGGGTGGAGCGGTGCAGCTGGCCACTGACGCGGAGGGAGGGAGTCAGCGAGGGGAGCATGGCGCTGTTGGGTGCGAGACCGAGTGCGAGGGCGACAAGGGCAGCGCGGCAGGTGATGGTGCTGACGTGGCGGGGGCCTTCACTCGCCAGCACACCGCTCCCCCCCGCTGCGCAGCACCAGGGGATGGAAGCCGCTCAGGTGGGGAGTTTGAATCCGAGAGGGAGTGGGAGGCGCATGCTGACTTGGATCGGCAGGGCAGCATGCCTGCCACGATAGCAGGTGAGGGTGATGAGGTGGCAGGTGACAAGGCAAGGGAGCAGGAGGGCAGGGGTCGGGAGCGGCGCAACATCGGATCGAAGCTCAAGTCGCTGTGGGTGCAGCGCAGCAACCCCATGATACAGCGCAGCAGCACTGACTCCAGCCGCACGCCCAGGGCCGGGATAGGGACGGGCGGCGGGCAAGCGGGGGAGGAGGCGGAGGGAGGGGCGGGCGCTGAGGCAGGCGCGCTGTTCCGGTCGCACACGGCTGAGCGGCGGCCGCGGGGGCAGTCAGAGGGCGTGGAGGCGCGCAGGGATGAGTGGCAGGGGCAGCAGGCGGACAGCCCTGCCTCGGGGATGGCAGTGGGCAGCACAGGCAGTGGCGGCGGCAGTGGCAGGGCGGTGGCGCGCCATGCGTCGACGGCGTTCCACTTCTCCCCCTCCGTGCTCTCGCCCCGCTCCTCCTTCCACCGCTCCCTCTCCGTGCCGCGCCGCCCAGCAGCAGCAGCAGGTGCAGCAGGGAACGGGGAGGGGTGTAACGGCAGTGGCGGGGGGGGTGAGAGTGGAGGAGGGGAGTACCTGGGAGAGGGCGTGCTAGCAGAGACAGCGGCCAGTGCACCTCTCTCCCCCTCGCCCCTCTCCCCCTCGCCCCTCTCCCCCTCGCCCCTCTCCCCCTCACCCCTCTCCCCTGCGCATGTGAGTGCCAGTCGCCACATATCGCGGGGCTCCCAGAGTGCGCGGGAGGTGCGGGGCGGGGCGGGCATGCTGGGTGGTGCGGGCCATGCCACGAGCAGTGCCCCTGGCACACCCACACGGCAGAAAACGCGGCTGCAGGCGAGCACGCAGGGAGCAGCGTTTCAGGCAACAGGTACGCAGGCAGCAGCAGGCGACGCAGGGAAGGGTGAAGGGGTAGGGGCAGAGGATGCGAGGGGCGGCGGCAGGGACGCGGGCGGCGCAGTAGAGGGGAGTGCGGGATCAGACAGGGGGGAGGGCGGGAAGTCGGGCACAGCAGAGAACAGCCAGTCGGGCGAAATGGGTGCTGCGAATGGAGAGAGCAGGGGAGAAGAGGGTGGGGGGGCGGAGGAAGAGGGGGAGGGGCAAGGGGAGGGGAAGGGGCCGGTGAAGGTGACGCGGCGGCAGTATCTAGAGATGAGGCGCGCCACACAGGCCGCTGCACAGGCCGCAGCAGCAGCAGGTGGCGGCATCCCAGCGCCCGCACTGCCCACTCCGCGGTCGCGGTTTGCTGAGGCCCTGCAGAGCCCCCGCCTGCTGCCGGAGTGGCGCGGGGGGGGGAGTGGCGCAGGGGCGAGCAGGGGGGCGGGGAGTGTGCTGGAGAGGCGGAAGTCAGGCCTCAGAGGCAAGGCGTCGACGCATGGGCTTGCTGACACTGCTGCCAATGAAGGTGCTGCTGCTGCTGCTGCCAGCACAGGTGGTGCTGGTGACGCTGGTGGTACTGCGAGCAGGGTGCAGGGTGGGGGGGAGCGAAGCAGTAGTGGCGATGCGGAGGCTGGTGTGGATGCGGAGGCTGGTGTGGCTGGTGAAGCAGGGAGAGAGGCAGAGGGAGGGGTGGCGGACGAGGGAGGAGCAACAGGTGGAGAGGGGGAGGGGGAGGTGGCGAGGGAGGGGAGGGAGGGGGCTGGAGCAGTGAGTTCCGAGTTGCCGTGTTTGCCACCGCCTGATGCCCCTCAAGTCGTGCAGGTAACACCTGACGCCCCTCAAGTCGTGCAGGTAACACCTGACGCCCCTCAAGTCGTGCAGGTAACACCTGACGCCCCTCAAGTCGTGCAGGTAACACCTGACGCCCCTCAAGTTGTCCACTCTCACTACATTGTCTTTTTGCTTCCTCTCTCCCGCCTCTGTGTGCACCCTCACTTGTCTGTTTCCTGCATTCATTACTTTCTGCATTCATTACTTTCTGCATTCATTACTTTCTGCATTCATTGCTTTCTGCATTCATTGCTTTCTGCATTCATTACTTTCTGCATTCATTACTTTCTGCATTCATTACTTTCTGCATTCATTGCTTTCTGCATTCATTACTTTCTCACTCATATTCTTCTCACAACCCACTCCACTCCCCCACTCCCTCTCTCCGATCGCACTCCTTCCCCCACCCACCCGCGCCACCAATCAGTGTGTGCACTGTGCGCAAGCCCTTGCCGTGCCGCCCATTCCTCGCCGCCGCAAGCCGGGTGCCGTGCAGAAGCTGCGGTGTGGCAGCTGCCTCGAAGTTTCCACCTTTGCCGTCTCGCCACTCCAGCCGCAATTCCAATCCCAGCCCCACCAGCCGCCCCTCGCCCCCGCCAACCCCTCCTCACCGTCAGCGTTACCCAACCCACCTACCCACCCCCTCGCCTCCCCCTACCGCTCCCTCTCCTCCCCCCTAGCCCGCCTCCCCCCCGCCCTCCCCTCCAGCCCCCACGGCTCTCCCAGTTCCCCCCTTGCTGCGCCCAGAGCGTCCCCCCAGCCCCCTGTGGGTGTGCCGCGCAGTGCGAGTCAAGGGAGTGGGTCAGGGGGGGGCGTTGGGGGTTGGCAGGGGCAGAGGCAGGGCGTGGGGAGCAGGCGGGGGGACGCAACAAGAGACCTGTCCCCTCTCAGTGTGCCCTCGCCCCGAGTGACCCGGGGCCGAACCCCTACTGCCTGTGCTGCCTCTGCTAGCAGCCCGGGGCCATCGCCCTTGCGCGGGCAGGCTGGGCTGCAGGCCAGAGGCAGAGCCAGAGTGCTGAATGGCGGGCACGAGGGAGGGGCGGGGGGAGGCAGGCGGGCAAGCATGAGTGGTGGGGGGCTGGAGGGAGAGGCAGAGGAGGGCGATGGGGCACTGGCTGGTGTGGGGTGTGTGAGTCGAGAGGCCGGGGAGGGTGGGTGGGGTGCAGCGGGTTGCAGGGGAGGAGAGTGGGAGGGGCAGAGGAATGGAGAAGGGTGGGAGGCGGAGGGAGGGGAGGGAGTGGAGGCAGGGGGCAGCATGGGGAGCGAGTGGAGTGGGGGGGCGAGCACGGAGTGGAGTGGGGGAGGGGGCAGTGCGGAGTGGAGTGGCGACGGGGGCAGCGACTGGGTGGCGGAGCGGGGGGTGTCGCGCGACTGGGACACGTTTGAGCGCGGCGTGGTGGTGAACGGCGCCCCCATTGCTGATGCTGAGGTGCAGCGTGCTGAGCTGCTGGCGGGCCCCATCGACCCCGGCAACTACTGGTGGGGCCCTCTTGTCCGCCCGCCCTACCATGCCTTCTGCCCCCACACCACCCTACCATGCCTTCTGCCCCACACCACCCTACCATGCCTTCTGCCCCACACCACCCTCAATCACGCCCTCCCTTCACCTCTGGCCCACCAGCCATCTCCCTCTCTCCCCATTTTCTCGCCCGTTCTCTCCTTTTCTCCCAGCGACGTGCTTGTTGCGTACAGTTGACTCTCCACCCAGACGCCAGTCCAGTTGTCATGCGTGCTGCGCTCTCCGCGCTGCTCCTCCCCTCCCCCATCCCACAGGTACGACATCCGAGCTGGCTTCTGGGGAGTTGTCGGTGGGCCGTGCCTTGGCATTCTGCCGGTGAGTTGTGCCCTGGACCTCGTCCGCTGCACTCCTGCCCACCCTGTGGCGCCACAACGGTTGTTGTCTTGCTACCCATGGGAGTGGTTTCGGGTTCGACCCCTTGCGCCGACCTCGTTTGTGAAGCCGCAAGAAAGGCATGGCAAGCTGCGCGTGCCACACCCTGAGTGAGGGAGTCAGTGCCTCGTTCACCCAGCAAGGGGTGTAAATTGCGGAGGCGGGTTACGACCTACAGCTGCGGGTTACGACCTACAGCTGCGGGTTACGACCTACAGCTGCGGGTTACGACCTACAGCTGCGGGTTACGACCTACAGCTGCGGGTTACGACCTACAGCTGCGGGTTACGACCTACAGCTGCGGGTTACGACCTACAGCTGCGGGTTACGACCTACAGCTGCGGGTTACGACCTACAGCTGCGGGTTACGACCTACAGCTGCGGGTTACGACCTACAGCTGCGGGTTACGACCTACAGCTGCGGGTTACGACCTACAGCTGCGGGTTACGACCTACAGCTGCGGGTTACGACCTACAGCTGCGGGTTACGACCTACAGCTGTGGGTTACGACCTACAGCTGCGGGTTACGACCTACAGCTGTTGTTTACACCTGAGGGGTTTCTCCCTCGCTTTAGCTTAACCGTTGTACTCTTGCGTTACGAGCGTGCGGTCCGTTCATTTCCAAGTCGCGTTCTCGAGCACATCCCCCCTTGTTCCCACCCACTCAGCCCCCTCTTCCTTCTTCCATTTCCCGCGCCCCAGACGCGCCCTTCCCCCTCTCTCCCACACATAGCCCCCTTCTCCCCCCCCCCCCCCCTTCACCAGGCGCACATACCGCAGCTGCGGGAGCCGATGCGGCGGGACTGTGCAGGGGGGCGCACGCGCGTGGTGGTGAACGGGCGGGAGCTGAGCCAGAGGGACCTGGGCCCGCTGACGCAGCGGGGCATGCCAGGCGCCCCCCACCGCGTGTACACCCTGGACGCCACCGGGCAGCTCAGAGATGCCACCTCCAATGCCCTCGTCTCCCACCTCGGCCACCTCGCCCCCTCGTATGCCTCCTGCCCTCCCCGCCCTCCCTGCCCTCTCTTCCCTGCTCTTCCTGGCCCCCCTGCCTTTCCCGCCTCCCCTGCATACTTTTCTCTTATGTCACTTGGTGTGTCACTGCAGGTCCCCACATGCCCACATGCCCACATGCCCACATTCCCACATGCCCGCATGCTCACGTGCGCACATGCTACATGCGCACATGCCACATGTACAGTCGTGGTGCCATGCATGCAGTGTCTCAACTCACCCACCGTCCCTTGTGCTGGCTGTGTTGTGCAGGTTAGAGTCGAAGAGGGGCAATGGTATGTACCCTCCATCGTCAGACTGAAGCTGTGTGTCAGAAATGGAGGCAGGCGTCACGGAGCTGTGACGCAATCCGAATGCTCTGTGGCCTCATGTTGCCGCACTCCTCGCACATTTGTTCACTTCCATCATTGAGGGCTTGCCAGTTATTGAGCATCTTTCAATACCATTTGTACCGGTACCGTATCGGTAGCCGGTACTTTATTACCTGGAAAACAGCTCCCCTGCTGTATATTTAAAATTTATGTTTTCTAATTATGGTGTTCCTTGTTCCTCTAATGTGATAGAATCAACAACTAGCCTTTACAAGCCCATTTCCTTTCCCCTTGATCCTCGACTTCCCCTTGTAATGTCGGACGCAACAAAAGCGGAGATGCGCGCACGCGGCGACTTGGTCCAGTTCCAGCAGTCTCGCGAGCACCCTTCTCTCCCACATCACCCTCCCCCTCGCCCCACCGCATTTCCCCCTTCCGTACTACAGAATCCTCACCCCCTGCCGCCACCCGCTCCTGCGCAACGCGTTGCTCACTCACTCGGCTCTCGCCTGTCACCTTCGACTCCCGTCCGCCTCCTTCCGCGCGCCGTCGAGATTCGCGAGCCTTCATCATAACCAAACTTTTTCGCGCGCCGCTTAGAAACGTATTTTTCGACACGATAGTCGACGATCTGGCCGTCCGGTTCGAGTAGAGGTTCGACTCCCTTCGACTCACGCAGCGCCGCTCTTCTCGTATTCCCCGCCGCGATGACCATTCCAAACCCTATTTTCCCCTCCGCGTCGCGAGCCGACGTGCGGAGTCGGTACCGTCTGGGCAAGGAGCTCGGGAAGGGCGGCGGCGGCGTCGTTAGGGTTTGCGGCGATCTGGCGACGGGCGAGCCGGTGGCGGCGTGCAAGAGCATTCCCAAGTGCAAGCTGCAGGTGCGGCGGGGAGGGTGCCCAGCGGGATGGTCTGCCGAGGGCGCGCGGCGCGTGTGCGGAGTGGATTTCGTCCCGTGCCGCCCTAACGCCACTCTCTCTTCGTCTCCCTTCGCCATTCATCATTCCTTCGCCATTCATCATCCCTTCCCGCCATTCCCCCGTATCCCTATCGCCTCTCCCCGCCGTTCTCGCGCGCATTGCCTTTCCCCTCCCCTTGTAGTTGCCCTCACCCAACTCGCCCCCTCCCCATTGTTTCTCCCCCGAATCTCTCCCGCCGCCACGTCTTCGCCCTGCGCCCGCTTCCCCGTTCCTCGCCGCGCTCACCCGCGCGCGCAACCGCCTCTCCGCCGCGACTGCCCTGCGCGCTCACTGCCGTCCGCCCGCGCGCGCAAGCGCAGCGCAAGGAGGCGCGCGAGGAGCTGCAGGGGGAGGTGGCGGCGATGCGGCGCGTGGGGGGCCACGCGCACGTGGTGGCGCTGCGCGCGCTGTTCGAGGACGCGGAGAGCGTGCACCTGGTGATGGACCTGTGCGCGCAGGGGGACCTCTACGAGTACCTCATCGCGCGCACCGTGCTGCCCGAACCCATGGCCGCTGACGTCACCAGGTGAGCTCCACGTTGTGCCCGATTGTGTTGGTGCTGCTGTGTGCGCTTTCGCCTCGCCCCAATGCGAGCCTCACCTGCTTCCTCAAAGTGCGCCGCAGCGCTGCAGCCAGCCTGTGGCAGCTGCCTCCTCCTGGCGCCCTTGCTCCCTTGCTCCCTTGCTCCCTTGATCCCTTGCTCCCTTGCTCCCTTGCTCCCTTGCTCCCTTGCTCCCACCCACCCCCCTATCCGCACACTCCACGCAGATCCTCCTCGTCCCGCGTGGTGCGTCGTGCTCTCACCCCCCACCTCCCCCATTCACCCCCCACCTCCCCCATTCACCCCCCTCCACGCACATCACCCACCCCCCTCCACGCGCATCACCCACCCCCCTCCACGCGCATCACCCACCCCCCTCCACGCACATCACCCACCCCCTCCACGCCCATCACCCACCCCCCTCCACGCGCATCACCCACCCCCCTCCACGCGCATCACCCACCCCCCTCCACGCACATCACCCACCCCCCTCCACGCACATCACCCACCCCCCTCCACGCACATCTCCTCGCCCGGCCCCACCGCCCCGCATCACACGCGGTGCGTCGAGGCATCAAGCCCCTCTCCGTCTCATCACCTGCTTCCCCCCTCGCCCACCCGCTCCACACACACTCCACGCAAATACTCCTGGCGCTGCACCACTGCCACGCGTCCAGCGTGGTGCATCTCAACATCAAAGCAGGCCCTTCTACCAGCCCCGTGCGTCACCCCTCCTCCCATCTCCCCCGTCCCCCCCCCTCCAGGCAAATACTCCTCGCCCTGCACCACTGCCACGCGTCGGGCGTGGTGCACCGCGACATCAAGCCCGAGAACATCCTGCTCGCCTCCAAGGACGAAGCTGCGGAGAAACTTCACCTAAAACTCGCAGATTTCGGCCTGGCAGTGCAGCTCCGCGCAGGGCAGCTGGCGGTGGGCATGTACGGCAGCGCCGTGTACATGTCGCCCGAGGTCGTCTGCAGGCGACCCTACGGGCCCCCCGTGGACATGTGGGGGCTTGGGGTTATCCTTTACACTGCCCTCTCAGGTGAGCTTCATCTCCAGCAGGCGAACTTGTCGCCAGAGGTTGTCTGCAGACGGCCATATGGACCCCCGGTGGACCTGTGGGGGCTCGTATCCTTTATGCTCCCCTCTCAGCTGCTGTGCCTCTGCCTGCTCTCTCACTTCCCACACCTCATCTGCTTTCCCTCTGGCTCAATCGCTCTGCGGCTCTTCCTTTTCACATGGCCTGTGCAAGCACTCATCTTTCACCGCCCCTGCTTCCCCTGCTTCCCCTGCTTCCCCTGCTTCCCCTGCTTCCCCTGCTTCCCCTGCTTCCCCTGCTTCCCCTGCTTCCCCTGCTTCCCCTGCTTCCCCTGCTTCCCCTGCTTCCCCTGCTTTCCCTGCTTCCCGCACATCCCCCGCTTCCCCCTTCCCCCCCCTCCAGGCTACATGCCGTTTTGGGGCAGCACGGACGAGCAGCTCTTCTTTCGCATTCTGCGCAACCAGCCCGACTTCTCCATCGCCCCCTGGCCCTCAGTCTCCCCCACCGCCATCGACCTTGTGCGCTGGCTGCTCTCCTCCGACCCCGCCCACCGCCCCTCCGCCGCCGCCGCCCTGCAACACCCCTGGATCGCGCAACACTGCGGCCGCCAGACCCTCCCCCCCCACCGCCCGGCTCCTCCCCCGTCCATGGGCGTCAGTGCGCCGGGCTTGCCAGGCGAGGCTGGCAGCGCGGAGGGGGGCAGAGAAGAGCGGGTGAAGCCAGCACAGGCGAGGGGCGTGGATGGGCCTGGCAGCGGAACTGCAGCTGCTGCAGCCGGTGGAGCCATGGACACAGAGATGGGCGGGCAGGAGGAGCAGAGGAAGCGGGGGATGGCGGCAGGTGCTGAAGGGGTAGTGCGCGTTGATCCGGGCAGCAGGCAAGGCGGACGGCACGGGCAGCAGAACGAGGAGGCGCAGAGGCAAGAACGGGCTGGTGGCACGGATGGCAGCATGGACGTGGACTCACAGCAGGCAGCCAGCGTGGCACATCAGGATGGCCGTGAGAAGCAGCCCAAGCCAGCGACCCTCCAGGTGCCTCTCTTCCCCTCCTTCACCGGCCCCGCCTCGCCCCTCTTCTCCTCGCCTGCCAGGAATGGCACCGGCAGTGCTGGTGGTGGTGGGGTCTTTCTCTTCACTGCGCGGCCCAACGCTGGCAGCAGCAAGGATAGAGGCTCGGGTGGCAGCATGTGGGACAGGGGGGAGGGCAGCAAGGGGAAGCACAAGGAGCAGCAGCGGCACCAGGCGCAGCGCCACGCACATGCAAGCAAGCAGCACGAGCAACACCAGGCTTCAACAGCAGCAGCAGCAGCAGCAGCAGGGGACAAGGAAGAGCAGAAGGAGCGGCATTCAAACTCGGGAGCACAAGCTGCAGAGCAGAAGCCCCGTCGGTCGTCCCACTTCCGCTTCTTCTCTCCCAAGCGCAAGGCCCGCCGCTCCCACGTCGTCGTCTCTGCCGCCCCCCTCCCCGCTCCACCACCCCCTCCCCTCTCGTCGCCTTCCTCATCGCGGCACTCCACTCTGGACCCCTCTCTACCTCATTCCACTGCCGCCCATTCCTCCTCTGAGCCCACCGCATCCATCACTGTTCCCCTCGTGCGCCGCCCACCAGCCTCCGGGGATGCTGCTGCACCCAGTGCTGCTGCTGCTGCTTCCTCGCAAGGTGCCGCTGGCGCGGTTGCATCGGTCACCATTCCTGTCATCCCGCCCAAGCCGCCGTTAGACCCAACCCAAGACCTCCCATCCGTGCCTGAGATCCAGGCTCGGCTATCCGGGCCTGACGGCTCCATCCCCGTGTCGTCGCTCTTCTCCTCCTTCCTCCGCCCCCTCAACCCCCTGGCTGCGAGGAAGCCATCCTTCCGACAAGCCCAGCGGTCCGAGTCCTCTCCGGTGCCGCCTTCCCCCACACCCTCTGCGCCCCCCAACTTCCTCTACAGCCCGCGAGAACCCCTTAAGTCGCCCCTCAAGTCGCCCCACCACAAGCCGTTCACGGCCACCAGCAGCTACAGCGGAACCAGCAGCACAATCAGCGCCAGCAGCGCTCCCCGCGTGGCGTCGGCCTCGGAGCTCTCCTTCGGCATGGGCCGCTTCTCCCGCCCCCTGCAGGGCATGTCGTCCCTCATCCGCCCCTCCTCCCCCTCCACCTCTGCCTCGGCGCTCGCACCCTCACCGTGTGAGTCGCCGCAGCACATTATGGGGGCGGGTCAAGCAGGAGGGAGTGTGGGGGGGGAAGAGGATGGGTCGAGAAGAGCACGTGAGCACACAGCCCTCACCAGCTCTGCCAGTGCCCCCAACGTGGCCATGCCTAGCAGTGCAGCCCCCATGCCTGCAGTGCCACATGTGCCTCGCAGGGCCCGAGGGCTCAGCTCCATAGTGAGGGCCTTCGCCTCTCTCTCCACCACTGCTGCTAATGCTGCTGCCCCTGGGCCGGTGGTGGCAGGCCAGCAGCCGAGTGGATCCAACATGGCTGCTGTAGCTGGTGGTGCTAGTGTGGAGGGTGGCACACTGAAGGTACACCAAGAAAGCGTGGAGTCGCCGAGTGCGAGTCAGGCAAGAACGTTCAGTGAAGGTACAGCAAGAGGAACTGAAGTATCTTCTAGTAGTATATGGCAAAGACAGGGTAGCTGGATCTTTCGACGATGAAGTGCTCTGCACAGCTGGTTAGTGCCGATACTGATGAGTGATTTGTATCTAATCTTGTTGTACCCTTCTGAGCTTAACGCATATGCTTGTATTGTATTCAACATGAAGAAAGGCACACTGACTGAATTTACCGGTAGCTGAACAAGCTCTTATCTATGTGTAGCTTAGTCTAGTATGCACTAATCAATCTGTTGAGAGGAGGTTCAAGTTTTTCTTGTTTGGCTTGGTGGTGAATGGTGTACCGTGATTCGTTACAAATTGATGCCATTAGATTCCTGGCCAGGCCAAACCAGCGCGTCTTGTCTCACGATTCCCAATGAGGGTGTGTCCAGAAAATTCGTTTACTATTCACTTTGCATATCAGGTACACAATTTCGACCCGAAATTTCGTGTCCATTCGGACAAGCACGATAAATTGACGGTTTTGGCGGACACCCTCCAAACGTGCCCACAGACGTGGGCCACAAGTTTCCGAACCGAATGAAAATCGTGCGCAAATTATGTACACGACAGAAACGTCCAGATCCTGGCTGGCGAAAAATAGAACGCTTACGTTCGCCAGGCTTTCGTGACGCTTGCGAAGCACGGCGAAATTTAGCCCTCCATTTTTTCCCCCTGGGTGGAGTCGCGGCTCGTAATGCGTGTTCGCGAAAGCGGGCGGGGCCTCTTTCCTGGGACGAAATTTGGCTACCCTGCTGTTTTCGCGTGTCAGTCTGTTATGTGCGCGCTGCGCACCCGCTCATTTGTCGAGCCACGGGCGGGGCTCGTGTCCGCGCGTTTTGCTGTTGATGCTGTAGGTGTACCTCAACACATTCACAATTGGCGAATCAATATTTCGGCGTGTTAAAAAAACGCCAAAAATTCGTGTTGGGGCAAAGTGAACGCGCTGGACACGCCCTGACTGCAAAACCACTTCCATGTGCGTGTGCAATGGGCACAATCGGCACAACGCCAACTCCCCTTCTTCCTCCAGGCTGCGTTGGCGAAGAGCGTTCGCTTTTGTTACCATTGTTAGATCGCCGAGAAAGAACTCAGCCCGCCAAAGTCGCCAAGTCGCGAATCGCGACATATAGCGACACGCGTATTTTGGGGGGGGCAGGGCTCGAACTTCGACGGGCACCATGCGGTCGACGGGCAAATGTTACATGAGTATATTTTCCGGGCAGCGAAGAAGCGCAGGGCCTCTGGAATATCCGAGCAGAGACACTCTTTAAGCAATCTGGCTGGCAGAACCCTCCTTTCTCCCTCCCCCCCTCCCTTCCCTGCCTGCTTGCCTCGACTACATAACAGGCCTCTCGCTAAGCCCCAGGGTATTCCGGAAGGGGACGGAATCGCCTCAGGTTCGCCCGTTAACAGACGGAATTCCCCAAAAAAAACCGTTACCGAAAGGAATCGGCCGCTACAAATTCGGCTAGCAAGTGATCAAAGGCGTGGTTGGGGCGGGGGGGGGGAGGGGTAGTGGGGTGGGCGGTCGCTACCCCCTACAGATTGCCCTGCTACAAGTATAGCCCGTACGGATTCGGAAAAAAAAGTACTCGTCAGGCTAAGGAGTCGCGCGAAATTGTTTCCGTAAGTTGGACGGATTCGGAAAAAAATCGCACTTTTAAAATCGGAATCGCTTGAAAGTTACTCTTAATTTCTTGACATTAAGGGTAATTACTCTGTTAGCAAAAGGCCTGCTTTATAACCAGAACCACGCACTTGAACCATTTCATTCTGCACTGCTCTGCTCAGTTCACACACCTTCCTCCATCGACGCTCTCCTGCCTCAAACGCTTATCCTGACAGTCCCACGGAACTTCATTCTGAAGTCCTACAGAATCTCTTTCCTAGATATCGCTCATCTATACTCTTACAGCTCTCATTTCCTGAACCCGTGCGAGCTTGGCTAGCAATCACTTGCTCGCCATGGACAGCTGGATGGCACAGCACGCGTACCTGCTCTCCGACGTGTGCTCCGGCGGCGACCTCCGAGGGCTCCTGGAGCGACGCAAGGCCGCCGCGGGGAAAGCCGCGGGGAAGACGTGGTGAGGGAAGGGCAGCGGTGGCGGGGGGAGGGGAGGGGGATTGGCGGAGAGGGAGACTTTAGAGGTGCTGATGCACGTGGGCGAAGCAGTGGCGCTCTGCCACGAGCAAGGCGTGGTGCATCGCGACGTCAAGCCGGAGAATATTCTTCTCTCCCGACCAGTTCTTTTCTCGCCCGCTCCCTCCGCCGCTGCTGCTCCTGCGCCTGCTGCCCCCGCCTCCCCTGCTGCCCGGTCCGCGCCTGTCTCCTCCCCGGCTGTCTCCGCGCGCCTGGAGGCGGGGGCGGTGCGGCTGGCGGACTTTGGGTTGGCGGCGGTGGTGGCGGACAAGCAGCGCGGGTGCAGCGCTCCTGCAGGCACGCCCGGGTACCTCGCGCCTGAGGTGCTCGCCCTCTGCTGCCCGCCCTCCGCTCACGCCGCTGCAGCACCGCGGCAGGGAAAGCCACCACCAGCAAGAACAGCAGCAGCAGCGGGGTACGGGTGTGCGGCAGACGTGTGGTCGCCGGGGGTGACGTTGTACGAGATGATCGCGGGCGAGCGGCCGTACTCGGGTGACGCGCCTCAGGATGAGTCGTGGCGGGCGCCAGTGGAGGGGCCCGCGTGGGAGGGCGTGTCGGAGGAGTGCAGAGCGGTGGTGAACGGCATGCTGCGAGTGCGGGCGGCAGAAAGGCTGACCATGGCGCAGGTGTGCAACCACCCCGCCCTCATCCGCGCGCACGGGGGGAGGGGAGGGGGGAACGGGGGAAAGAGCAAAGCGGGCGGTGGTGGTGGGGGTAATGTGGAGGTTGGGGGAAAGTGGAGGTTGGGGGAAAGTGGAGGTTGGGGGAAAGTGGAGATTGGGGGAAAGTGGAGGTTGGGGGAAAGTGGAGGTTGGGGGAAAGTGGAGGTTGGGGGAATGTGGAAGTTGGGGGAAAGTGGAGGTTGGGGGAAAGTGGAGGTTGGGGGAATGTGGAGGTTGGGGGAAAGTGGAGGTTGGGGGAAAGTGGAGGTTGGGGGAAAGTGGAGGTTGGGGGAAAGTGGAGGTTGGGGGAAAGTGGAGGTTGGGGGAATGTGGAAGTTGGGGGAAAGTGGAGGTTGGGGGAATGTGGAGGTTGGGGGAATGTGGAGGTTGGGGGAAAGTGGAGGTTGGGGGAAAGTGGAGGTTGGGGGAAAGTGGAGGTTGGGGGAAAGTGGAGGTTGGGGGAAAGTGGAGGTTGGGGGAAAGTGGAGGTTGGGGGAAAGTGGAGGTTGGGGGAAAATGGAGGTTGGGGGAAAGTGGAGGTTGGGGGAATGTGGAGGTTTGGGGAATGTGGAGGTTGGGGGAACGTGGAGGTTGGGGGAACGTGGAGGTTGGGGGAACGTGGAGGTTGGGGGAACGTGGAGGTTGGGGGAATGTGGAGGTTGGGGGAATGTGGAGGTTGGGGGAATGTGGAGGTTGGGGGAATGTGGAGGTTGGGGGAATGTGGAGGTTGGGGGAAAGTGGAGGTTGGGGGAATGTGGAGGTTGGGGGAATGTGGAGGTTGGGGGAAAGTGGAGGTTGGGGGAAAGTGGAGGTTGGGGGAAAGTGGAGGTTGGGGGAAAGTGGAGGTTGGGGGAATGTGGAGGTTGGGGGAATGTGGAGGTTGGGGGAAAGTGGAGGTTGGGGGAAAGTGGAGGTTGGGGGAATGTGGAGGTTGGGGGAATGTGAAGGTTGGGGGAAAGTGGAGGTTGGGGGAAAGTGGAGGTTGGGGGAAAGTGGAGGTTGGGGGAAAGTGGAGGTTGGGGGAATGTCGAGGTTGGGGGAAAGTGGAGGTTGGGGGAAAGTGGAATTTGGGGGAAAGTGGAGGTTGGGAGAATGTGGAGGTTGGGGGAATGTGGAGGTTGGGGGAAAGTGGAGGTTGGGGGAATGTGGAGGTTGGGGGAAAGTGGAGGTTGGGGGAATGTGGAGGTTGGGGGAATGTGGAGGTAGGGAAAGCGGGTTGGGTTGGTGGAGCAACACTTTTTGCACCCTGCTTGTCAGGGTGTTTGGGATGGTGGTAAGACTCACTGGATGGAATGGCATGGGAAACGCTGCTTTGCTGCTGTTCTGCCTGCTCGCTCCTCTCCCATTCGCTTTGCTCCATTAAGGATCCTGGCTGGTTGTGTGGCGGCAGGGGCTGATAGTTGCATAGACTAGCTCTTTATGTAGGTTTATTTGTGTAGCTTCATTCAATATGTTGCATTATGTCCTTCTCTAAGAGGTGTTTGTGTGCCTCAGCCATGGGAGCTCCTAGATGGCACCACCCAACCACGTTGGCATCACCTAGCAGCAGTCATTCCCTTGCCACGTTGCCACTATGCGTTCCCCTCATTTTTCCCTTTCCGTTGCTTTGTTCACCTATCCTCTTGTCTGGCTTCCCCAGCCTCCCCCCAAGTCTGTTCCCCCTCGTGAGATCGTCCCCCTTTTCGGGTGGCATCTCCCCTCATCCGCCTCATCTCCCCTCATCCGCCTCATCTCCCCTCATCCGCCTCATCTCCCCTCATCCGCCTCATCTCCCCTCATCCGCCTCATCTCCCCTCATCCGCCTCATCTCCCCTCATCCGCCTCATCTCCCCTCATCCGCCTCATCTTCTCTCTCCTCCTCTTCATCTGTCCCGTCCCCCAGTTAATAAAATTTTTCCTACCCTCCTATTCCGACCTCCCCTCGAATTTGCGCACATCATGTTCGCCCTTCTGGGAATCGATCTCATGCCTGTTCCGCCGTTCCTAATGTTTTCCCCCTTCTTGCTCGGTTCCCCCCTCCCCCTCGGCTTTTCCCCTTCCCATGGTGTGTTCTCCTACCCCTTGTCGGTCGCACATTTCCGGATTAGTTGTCCTTCCCTTCTTTGGTTTGGTACCTTTCCCCTCTCCCGGACTCTCCCCATCCCCCGGCTCCACTGCATTGCCTGCAGGGTGCGAATTGCCAGCAGCACGGGTGCATGGAGGGCGGGGTGGATGGGAAGGAACGGGTGACTGCGCTGCGGCTCCATGTAAGTGCACTGTCGTTCTGAAGTGGCATGTCAGCATGGCAGCCAGAGTATCATGTGTCAGCGTGAGAATTCTGCCAGTGTTCCGTTCAGTCCAGCATTCCTTGATGGCATCTCTGGTCATCCCAGCTTTTTCGATAGCATGGTCACATGTGTGCATACATGATGCGATAGCCATGCACATTGCTTGACTTACTTAATGGTCCAACCTGATTGATTTTATGATGGCATCACCATTATGCTGCCATGAAATCTATTCCATCTCAAGTGCTTGTTGTAATCTGAGTTTTGTGTACTGCCTGTTTATCCATGCCACCAGTGCAGACATTGCATGAGTATGTCGACACAATACCACTATTTCACACCACCAACATCTCACTGCTTTAAACACTTTGCCCCTGTTATCCCTTGAGTCCAGCCAGCATCGTTGGGACGCACAGACTCCTGCAAGTCATTCCTCACCATGCCGGTGACACCGCACATGCCTCCTCGTCCTCCTTGTCCTCCTCGTCCCCCTTGTCCTCCTCGTCCCCCTTGTCCTCCTCGTCCCCCTTGTCCTCCTCGTCCCCCTTGTCCCCACATGCCTTCCCATCTGATGCCATGCCCTTTTGGAATGCAATTCCTTGTTCTCAAATCTGACCCATCATATTCTATCACAACACATCCCAACCCATCGTAACCCATCCAAAATTTTCCAAGCATCCCATCCACTTCCATCTCATCCCATCCCATTGCATCCCATCCCATCCCATGTCACCGCATCACATCCATTCCATCCAGTGCCATCCCATTGTTCCTCGTAATGTCAGTGGGGTGTTTGCATTGTCTGTCTGCGAACCACCAGCTGGATAATTATTTTTGCAGAACTGACTCCCGACCGAAACTCTTTTCTCCCAAAAGCATTTCTTTTCAAGCAACCCCTCTTCCCCTCTGCCTGCCTGGCTCTCATGCGCTGTGCTGTTGGGTTCGCACCAATAGATGGCCGTCCAGCTGCTGCTGCTGCTGCTTTCAGATACTGCTGTGTGCTGTTCTGCTGTTATGTCATGATATACCGTATTTACCCAGCTAAAAGACCCTGGGGTTTTATCCTGCCCCTGTTTTTTTATTAAGGGGGTGTGTCTTTTAATCGGAGGCAAATGTTAGACAACTAGAATAATTAGCAAGAAGTGAGAACAAGGGAGATATAGGGTTTGGGTTGTACTCTCTAGGAACACACGCCTATTCGACCTGTAGCTTATAACTTCTACATGCAAATGTATGTATAAGTTGACACACCCCCTAGGCTAGATAAGGGGTGCTGCTGAGCAAGAAGCGCACAGCTCAGGGTGGCACTACTAGTCCAACCTTTGAGACAGGGGTTCGAAGACCAATTAGCAAGAGTTCTGTTGGAAACACCTCAAAGACTTGAGCGTTTCTGAAGTGTAACACTACACTCAAAGAAAAGTCATATCGAGTACAGGAGTCATCAACGGAGGTTACACGAGGAGGTTGGACGAAAGAACACGAAAGGACGAAGGGACACGAAGGGTTGCAACCGGAAGTTGCGACTGACCGTTGCGACTGCAAGGGTGGTAACAGAACCAACGATCGAGTCGCTGTGCGACTCGATAACCGTTTATTCAGCTGTATTGTACAACTGCATTATTCCCTATTTTCTATATACCATTCCTGTATGCTTGCTTCTTTTAATCAATCACTTGCTCTCACATACTAGTGCAAGGGTTCGACTACTCAACACTTCCGCTGCACTACTCAAACACCGTGTTCAAGTGGGACTTAGTCTCTGGAAAGATCCTAAGGGCTTTTCTCAGCCCAACATGGTATGAGAGCTGGTCAGAGACCAAACTCCCAGCAACAACACTCGACCTACAGTCAAACACATTAAGAGAGTCATCAATTACAAGTCATGGACAACAAGGGCAAGAAGTCTTCTACGAGCTCACCCAACGCCCAAGACACTCAACCCGGCAACTGTGGACTACACACTTCAGGACTACAAACTGAGACCGGCGCTGCTCAAGAAACAACATGGAGGGTACCAGAAATGGTGACCCCTTCACCCTCTTCAAGCGTGGACCCGAACCTTATGGAAAGGTTCTTCAGCTTCATGTCACACTTTGACCAGCAGCAGCAAACAAGGACACTTGCGCATTCAACACAGAGCAACGGGGGAAATATGGGATTAGCACCAATGAGCCTCGACAACTCATCATTCGGGCGGCACAATCAGGCGCCTACCTTGCCCTTATCACTCTTCACCGGGGACGTTCGAGTTCATGCCGCCCCGTGCTCAACCGACAGCAGCTGCATCACAACAGACACCAAACGAGATATTGAGTCTCCAGGAGCAGTTTTCACATGTGATCAAACTGCAGACACCTTCACCGTTCAACGCGCACAACTTCTTTACCTGGAGTTTTGAGTTCGAGCTGATGATGGAGGCCGCGCACCTCCTCGGATACTTCAACGGGTCCGTGCCATTTCCAAGCAATGGCACTGCAAAGGAGCAGGAAATCTTCACTTATCAGTCGCTGCTGGCGTACACAGTTCTCCTGCGAAATCTATCACCACAAGAGCAACAGAGCATCAAAACCTATCGGAGCTACGGAAACTCCGCGGAGCTCGCCTGGCATCATCTGAAGTGTCTCTATCAAGCAAACGACAGCGTGACTCAAAGCAGACTCATGCAGCAGTTAACCACAATACAAATGAAGACCGGGGAAAAGGCGATGCAGTATATGAGTCGCTGCCAGACACTCCGCGACCGCCTACTCCGGTGCGGAGGTACAATCACTGAAGAAAGCTTCGTGACACTTGTCCTCACCGGGCTCGGGCCAGAATGGAGAACCACGTGCTCGCTTCTTTGCGCCCACGGACGAATTTCCGAGATGCACCTCTGCGCCGAGCTACATGCTGAACAACATGAGATGGACCTATTTGAAGAAAGACAACCAAGAAATAAGCAGCAACCGTTAGTTTTCTATACTCAACAAAGAAACGACAACAACTACAACCGACGTGATAAACAGAATCGATACGACGCCAGAGGACTCACCATCGTGCCACCGTTCTGCCACAATTGTCAGACATCCGAACACTCCAAGGTTAACTGCACGCGCCCTCGAGTTTATCGTCCAGCAGATCCGCAAGTCGACTCCACTCAAGAAAATCCGCCAAGCCGCTCCTCTACACCTGCACGAGACACACCAAACATCATCAACTGCATGGTACGGATTGACAGCTGCAGACGCGAGTCACCACCCACTTACGCTCCAAACGAAGAAGAACTACCGCCACCACGTTCACAAGGTCTCTAGGTCAACCCGACGTACGCTGCAGTCGCCAACGTCGAACCCACCGGGCGAAACACCTGGTTCCTGGACAGCTGCTGCGGCCAACATATGTGTTCCTCCGGGCGCTTCGTGCAACGAGAGCGACGTCTCAACCGCGATGTCATAATCACCGTCGCCAACAACGAGAACATGAAAACAAACAAACAAGGCGTCGTTCAGCTTCAGGCAATGGAGAAAAACGCCATACTACAACTCAACAAAGTCCTCATCGTTGACAACTTGGGATACAATCTGCTAAGCGTCAGCCAGTTCATGGCGAAGGGGATTTACCTGGAATGCGACTCAGACGACAACGAGTTTCGCCTTTACCACGGGAAGGGCGGCCTCTTCATCGGTCGCGCTCTCCTGAAGTCGGGTGTCTTCGTGCTGGATTTCGTCCCCGACCGCGGTACTGCCGACAGTGATGGCATCGTGTCGTTTGCTGCCTGGACGCAACCGCCGGATCTTGACCCTGACTTTACTCCAGACGGCTTCTGGTACTCCAACACCATCCCTGCAGCAGAGAGAACACGAACATTAGCAATCATTCGACAAGAACGACAAGTACCAACAAGTACACCTTCCTCGACATCACCTGTAGCAACAACAGTAGAACCAAGCCGCGGGCCATCACCAGCAATCCGAGGACTCCCATCCGAAGCAGATCAACTCATGCCCATCACCCGAGGAGTCTGCCGCAGTCCTGCCACGGTCGTCGCGTTCTTCTCTAACGCCGACCTGTACCAGCGCTCACCCGGCCATCGCGCTCTCGACGACATCTGGCATCAACGCCTCGGACACCCTACAAACAGCACAGTACTACAAACCATACAAGCCGGAGTATTAGAAAAGGACGCTCTTCTCACAACGAGCGGGCAGGAGCTTTGACGACCCCGCGCACGATGCTTCACCTGTCCCGAAGCTGATCTTCCCCACCAACCTTTTCCGTCGCACCACAATCCAAGCGCACCTGCATACGCACCGATGGAAAATGTCTACAGTGACATCTTAAATATGCCTCGCGATGACTTTGAAGCAGAGTACAACTATGTCATCACGTTCATCGACGCAGCACCACGATACGTCTGGCACTACAATCTCAAGACACGCGATCAAGCGTTCGAAGCATTCACGACGTGGCTCCCCATCGCCGAACGAGAGTCGGGGTCGCAACTCAAGAGTTTCCAGTCAGACGGGGCACTGGAATACCAGTCACAATGATTCAGGAACTACTTGGCAGAAAGAGGCATCAGACGCCTGGTGTCTCTGCCCTACGCTCACCAGCAGCAGTGGGTCGCAGAAAGGATGAACAGAACCTTGCAGGCGACGATGCGGAAGCTGCTCCTGGGGATGAGACTGCCCAACACGCTTTGGCCTGACGTGATGATGCATGCAGTCCACCTGCACAATTTGCTGTCCTCGTCATCACTTCCAAACAGCGCATCACCACACCTTCTGTGGACAGGAAAACTGGGCAGTACACAATTACTTCGAGTCTTCGGCTTCATGGTACAGTACAGACCCCACACAGCCCGAGCAGGTCGATTCTCTCAACGAGCACGGTGGGGACTACACCTCGGCATTGCAAAACATTTCCAAGCATGGAAACTTCTCAACATTCAGGACAAAACCACCGTGGCCTCACGTGATGTACTCTTCTACGAGCGACTGACACTGCAACATTACTTAGACAACATCGCCAACACAAACGACCCCACCGACGGCTTCGAGGGCCATCGGTCCTTTGCCGACTGTGCTGCCAAAGCTGACGCAGCAGAAGAAGACGTACCTGAAGCCTCGGAAGCTGCCGGACCACTCCCTTACTGCTCCGTGCCCGTTCCACTCGACGACGACATTCCTCTCAATAGTAACAACCTCGATACTTATTACCACTTCGGTGACCAAGGTTACACTACACCTCAACCGGTCGACACAAATATCTCTGAACGCATCGGACCCAATTTCTTACCCGACCCCAAAGACGGTGACGAAGCAGCTTATCCCGAGAATGACAATTCCCCTCGACACACACCCACGAGCCTGCAGATACTTGGACTATGGGTCGCCGTCCAGAGCCCGCCGCCACCGTCGCCGCGCGAGCCATCGACTCTGTCGCAAGCTCTGGGGGGGGAACACAAGGCAAAATGGAAGGAAGCAATGGAAATGGAACTGAAGGCCCTGCCAGACCGAAATACGTGGAAGCTGGTACCTGCAACAAAAACCAACGGGAAGAATGTGCTCTCAGGGAAATGGGTGTACCGCATCAAGACTAATGCGGACGGCTCCATCGACAGTTTCAAGGCTCGCTGGGTCGTAAGAGGATTTGACCAGCGATACGGAACCGACTACACGGAGACATTCGCCCCAGTCTCCCGACATACTTCTCTACGCATTTTGCTCGCCGTCGCGGCCACGAAAAAACTACCACTGCGCCAGATCAATGTCGCCAACGCCTTCCTGTACACACCTGTGGACGCCGAAATCCTCGTCGAGCAGCCCCACCGATTCATCGACGATCCCACAAAGGTGTGCCAGCTGGTAAAATCCCTCTACGGAATTACACAAGCCCCGCGGCTCTGGCAGCAGCACCTCCACGACCGCCTCGTCAGGATCGGTTTTCTGCAGCTGCCGCACGATCAAGGCATGTATTGACTACAGAAGGGGGGGGATTTTGTCCAACTCATCGTCTACGTTGATGATCTACTCTACGTCGGCTCCACTACCAACGTCACCACCTGGTTCGAAGGGGAGCTGAGGAGTGACTTAACACTCACGGTGTCAGACACCGTGAGCCAGTACCTGGGTCTAAACATCGTCGAAGACGACTCGGCGCTCTACCTACACACCGGAAAATACACAGGCGTTGTCGCAAAGA